GCATTTAAATCCCAAATGAACTTCAGCCTGTAAACACAATAGGGTTGGAGTTGCTATTCTAGAAATTGAGCATCAACAGTATGGAATCACTTAGTTCCCATAGGCTCATGTATTCAAATAGTCTGCCCTCAGTATCTTTCTCAGCACAAAGTGTTTATTCGATGCTCGAGGACTGTGGTGCTATAACAAAACATCGTTTCTTCTTGCTTTTTAAAAGTTGTTGTTAAAGTTGTAGTGATGAACCAGGCCATTGTAGTACAGATGAAGTCCACGCTTGTGTAAAGTTTTGGTGTATTTTATTGTGATGTAGTTCTAAGGACTGAACCTCAGGGTCCAGCCCCTCCTGGGTGACCGTTGAATAGACAACCCGAAGTATCTACTGCCCAAGTATCGACTGAGAGTGACCAAGCTCTCTGCTGTATTTATACCACGGTCTTATATTATTCAACATCTTGACTGATAAAGACAAGTGACCAGAATAATTACTTAATGGTCTTAAACTCTACATAACCGGTATTAAACTCTACATGACCAACACGCATATATATCATGTCTGAATATATAAACACAGGTGTTGACGTTTGAGATATAAGGGTATTTTGACCACAGGGTATATGTAACAATATGATGTAATATTTAAAGGTCCATGCAATACTCAAAGGTCAGCTGAACTCTATAATAATTTAAAGGTCAGTTCAAGATTAATTCTTAAAATGGTTCATTGCAAACGGGCGATAAAAGTACGGTACCGTAGCTGTATAATTGTAAACAAGAAACGGTGCTACAACTTTAGATCTTTTTTCAATAATGTAAACTGTTGTTGGTAGAATGAAAGATGTAAAAGATGTTGCAATTACCTTACAATGTATTTGTTTCAGAATGATAGAAATTTGCGAATAATACGGACGTAATATGAATATAATTTGTTATCTGATAGTATAAGATTTTAGTGGATTCATTGCCGAAAAGAAAAACCACGTCCATTTATTGTTCACATATAATATATATATAATGATTATCTATACACTATGACTGGTCATACTTGACACTGTATACAAACTACAGTTAATGTCGAGAGTATATAGATATTCAGTACCTATTACCTATGTTTCTGAACTTTGAAAGATGAGAAAGGTGAGAATCTCTAAAAGTCCATATATCGCAGTGTGAAGATCTCCCCAAAGTAAACATTTCTCTATGCGAAGATCTCATAAAGTAAAGACATATCCGAGTGGGAATCTTTCAAAACAAAGATCTCTCAGTGTGCAGATATCTCAAAACAAAATCTGTCAGAGTGATGTAGCCAAGTGAGAACGTATCAAAGTAAAGACTTCTCAGAGTGAAGATCTCTCACAGAAAAGATATCTCCATGTGAAAATCTCTCAAAGTAAAGACATATCCGAGTAGAAATCTTTAAGTAAAGGCCTTTTTCTGAGTGAGAATCTCTCATAGAAAATACCTATCCGATTGAAGATCTCTCAAAGTAAACATCTCTCTATGTGAAGATCTGTCAAATTTCAGACATTTCCAACTGCGAATCTCTCAGAGAAAAGATCTCTCCGAGCGAAGATCTCTCAAATGACAATCTCTCAAAAAAGAGATATCTCGGAGTGAAGATCTTTAAACGTTAAGATCTCTCAAAGTCAAGATTTCTGAGAGTGAAGATCTCTCAAAGAAAAGAACTATCTGAGGGAAGATTTCTCAAAGTAAAGATATCTCGCGGGGTCGCGACTTGGTAAAAGTGTTTGTGAGAACGGAACATAGAATCTAACTTTGTAAAGTGATTTTTTTCAGTCTGTTTGTGTAAAGTTGCGTTTCTCTGGGTTACTAAAGTATTGAGGTCAAGAGTCAAATGGCTCACGGACTATTTACCCACAAATATTTAGTATTCAGAGATAATATCAGTTTGTTAAATTTTTGGACGTGATATATATATTTTTTACAGAAACGATTCAGGAGACGTACATCGACGACCATTTTAATACATACGTATTCTTTAGTTAGGGGTAGTACGTTGTCAATATTCAATTAAGATGTTATTATACTCGGCAGCGTGAGGAACATGATATTAGACGATTACGTGGTCACGGGTTAATATAAATATAATAAGATAAAAACTATTATCCTACCAATAACCATACATTAAGTACACTGTACCATCGATAGCATTGGGAACACTATGTCATGCTCTTTGGCACGCACAGCTGCACCCTATATGACAGAGTGAATATGCTAGCAATTAATTTTCTCCTGGTTGCAATAGCACTGACGTTATGGCTCTGTTTATAAAAAAGGAGATATCACGTCATATTACTAACTTTGAATAACCACGAAATAAACGGCGCTGGTCGTCGATGCAGCCCAAGGCGTTTACTACTCAGGAACAGCGCCTCACCACGAGTGTATATGATCCTCCTTGTTTAGTCCACATATATTTTAGGTTTTATCAAAATCTAGTTTGAATTGATATATCAACATGTCGACATATTCGTTATTGTTTTGTTTCACTAGGCAAATGATTTGCGGGTGGACCGTTTTGTCCCCGAAAACAGTCACTACTGAGTAACATTTTTAAGTAGCTGAAGATAATTAATGTGGACATAATAAATCGGCGGCCAGTATGGAATTACTACTAAGTGAATTGCATCACTACAGGATTAATATTGTGCTCATTGATCATTCAAATAATATCATATTTTCCTTATTATTTTTGAACTTTTATTGCAAGAATTGGACTCCTCGGCACCACTATAACCCGGTGAAATCAATTTTACTGATTGCATTTATTCAACCTCTCCTACTACCTTGAAATCCTTAGCTTTGATCCTCTGAAATGTAAAAAGCTAAAAGAGGAACCTGAATGCTGATAGGTTCGATTTTCAATGGATTTGCTGTTGTATAAGAACAAAAATGCCGAAAACCGCATCGAAATTCGACCATCCGTTTCCGAGATATATCCGTCTAAACGCGCCGATTCACACCTGCTTCGAGATGTTAATCAAGCAAGCGATCAAATTACCCTGATTTACATCCGGGTATTGGTGACGTCACAAGTGGAAGCGCGTCGAGGGAAAATCACAAAATTCAACATGGACGGTACTGACTACTCCGACAATGATTCGTACTCTACTGATGGCGCTCTTCGTTTGTCTTGCGAATCATCGCCTTTCGAAGATTCAGACAACGATGTAGTTGACGAGACATCACATTGTGGGGTTCTTCCGTACCAGTTTGAATCATATGAAGACGACGTAGAAGACAGCGAGAACGAAGATGAAACTGTTGATAGCCAAGCTGACCGCATTGGTAACACCGACTGGTAAGAATGTAAACATATAGCTTATGGTAGTATCTTATTTTATACCTGAAGTTAGACCATAGAGTCAACAGTTTTGATATCAAATTATCTATGATATTATGTATAAACAAATATAGGTTGTAGACCATGTGCAATAGCACCAATAGGTCTTCTCGAGCTCGATCAAATGATACTCTGAATACACATGACACTTGTCTAGACAGTAACATAATCTTTCTTAAATGCATGATTATATCTCCAGGAGGGTTTTAAAGCATCATAATCATTACTGGAATGAAGAAAAAAGGTTAAAAATTGCTATCCTATGTCCACGATGACAGAATCTGTTTGCTGCAGAGAAATCAACCAAGTTAACGACATCAGGAGAGAGGTCCCAAACGTTAATTGTGTCATCGACCATCCAGGTTTTGAACCAGTCTGTCTCAATGTCCATGTATTGAGGGCCGCATACTTTGCATATAGACAGCAGTATGGGGAAGAAATGGAAGACACTCCAGAGTAAGTATTTGTTTACAGGAATGTTTACAAAGTCTTTACTGTCCCAAACAAACGCTTTTACAAAATTCAAGTCAGATAAGTTTCATTAAATAATTGTGATTTAGAATCTCTACAAGGAATTCTGATTTTTTTGCAGGAAAAAACAACTTGAAAGCTTTTACAAATTTTAATTGCCCAGCATAAAATTTCATTTTGTAAATGATATATATTCGTGTAAAATTGAATTTCTTGCGCTGTGGTGTTATTTAAAATTCCTACATTATTTTACATTATTTTACAGCCGACGTAGGTATGTTGCCTACAGACAACTGGTCAGGTGGTGCTTTGGTTATTTGGGCAGGAAAGTGAGGGTTCTAATTCCATCCTGTGTTGTCAGCAAAGTACGGAGCAACTTCCCAGCTGAAGATGATGAATATACTGGCTTCCAGCATGCAGCATGAAAATTCTTGGGATAAATGACAAAAGTCTCTGTGATATTTCGTATATTTATTTAAAATCGTAATAAATATTTTTTTGTATTCTTTTGCTGTTCTATGTAATATTTTCTTTTTACAACAAAATTCAACAGGCAAAAAATTCAAAAAACAAATGTAAGCGACATAGATATGTGGATTTCAGAAAAAAATTAGCATCATAAATCAAAGTGGTACGTTTGTACCGGCAGGGTAAGTATTCACTTCAAAAATTAAGTTCAAAAGTTCATAGAAAATCTTGAATGCATTCCTGCTATGGCATCCGACATATCTGGGTGAAGAAAGTCATGACACAACGGTGGAGGAACTGTGGGTGGAATAGGAATTCGTTGCTTTGCTAGTGAAGATCTTTCTGCCATGCTCATGACAACTTCTGTAAGATTTTCCACGTAATCTGAAAGAAAAAATGCAAGTTTCATGATTCATATTTTAACTGTACATTCGATTTCTACATTTACAGAAAAGTTACAATTACCTAAAAACATTCAAATGACACATTCTGTTGATTAAGTGTGCGCTTAAATGTCTGGCAGGTCACGATAGGCAGCTTAAGATAATATACTGAAACTTATATACGAGAAGCAAATGTATTAATACTAAAAATTCAAATCCTATACATAAAACTTACCAAAGGTGCTATGAACTTTGACTTTCCTGACGATATGTTCTCCTTTTTTATATTTGGGAAATTCCAAGCGGTAACGCAACACACCGTCTTTATCGACTTCTTGTAATTTGGAGCGGTTTTCATTAAAGTGAAGGGCTGCTAACTGCAACCTGTAGTGAAATATAATGGAAAAGATATAAGTTGATTATATGTTCCATTGCATCGCATTTACTGTGTAAATTAAACTTCATGCAGTATAGGTAAGTCATGGTATACATCAAATGTCATTAACATACTCCAAATTCAAAGCCAAGTTATACTTCCAAAGTGAATCTTTACCAAGAGCTGTGTAAAAAATGCGAGTTGTAGGCATTGAATCTAGCACAAAGTATAAGTGTAAATAATCTACAAAGTTAGATGACCATAGCTTAATTGTGGAAAAGGTAATACTAGGAATTTTAACACAAAAAGGCTAATATACCAAGTCTATATTCCCTTAAAAACTAAGGAGCTCACAAATCTTAAATTTCATGGTATTTGGAAATCTCTTTATAATTGGATCCTTTCTTCTCTGACACACACACATACATATCAATATACAAGTATCACTTACATACCTACATATCATCCCATGGTATGAAAACCCAATCATTTTTGGTGCAAAATGATTTATGACAGAATGGTATGCCTCTATGCTGGAAGTCTGTTGTCCTGTGGACAACATAGGAATGTCTTTCTTCATCTGATTGGAGAGAATGACATCATCTAGTCTTTCACTAACCTTGGTTGCTGTAAAGAGAGTTCAAGAATTGTAACAGGAAATAACTAGTTACTTTTCACTTTGTTGATTTTCATTTCAAAATTATGATTAATTTATGGACTGAAATTTTCAATAATTAATGTTTCTTCTATGGTCATGGTTTATTTTCACAAAACATGTCCATAGAATTTGTGTCCATTATTCGTTTGACCCAACACATTTTCCCTACCATTGTTATGCAAGTTGAAGTTAATTTCTGAAATAACTGGTATTGTCAAATACCTGGTTTAATCCATTTCTTCTGCCTTTCTCTACCGGACAGGTCACCATGACAACACTTCTCAAACAGAGATCCATGACCTTCATGTATGTTTTGTACATGGTTTGCTACACTCTGCCACTTTTCCATCATTAGGGAAAGATCTGCAGACGGAGTTGATGCAGCTACCCAATAAAGGTGGTTGCTGATACTCTTTATCCAAGGTGTTAAGGCATCACAATCTTTATCCTTGGATATTGCTGTCAGTTTTTTCTTTAATCCTAGTAATAAAAAAACATGTCAAAATTAGTGAGAAATATTCAACTATCAAACCATTATGCAGTTGTCTACAGTCAAACCTGCTTTGGAGCATACCTTTGTATGATGGATAGATTGATTAAACCCACCCGGTGCAGTTTGCAATGTAGCTGACCTCTATACTAAGGACAACTGTCTATAAAGGACAGTTTTCCTCTAAACCTGGGTCTTCATAAACAATTTTAACTATCTAAAAATGACTTACATATCAAACTTAAATTACACTTAGAATACGAGTACTTCAACAACAAGAGTGTTATATGAAATACATATGAAAAGTATTTTTTGTTGAAAACTTACCCTTTGCTACATGCCAGATATCTACACAGTGTTTTGTTTTAGGCATATTTTCCCTGACCCATTTCAAAATTTGTACATGACGATCTGTAACAATCTTCTGTATAGTAATTCCAGCATCATTGAAGGTCCTCACACTTCTGATCAACCCTTCTTTTTCCATGTGGTAGCTACTTTTGACTTCGTTACTCTAAAAATAGAATGTGTGAAATTGATAAATGAATTGAATGTAAAGGCAAGGGATTTATTTGATTTTTTCCCAACACTTCCAAAAGGATTCACCTGTGAAAAGACAAGGCTGTCTTACAGCCACTAGGGAAAAGACAGTTTAAACATGCTATGATGTCACAAAAGCTGCCAAATGCCACACAATTTCATTCACAAAAAAATTATTATACCAACACTGAAACAAGGTTTTCAGCGTCATGAGTGTGGGAGAAAAAAAATCAATTGTAGGGTTGAAAAGTGAACAAAAAATATCAACCATCAGGTGGAGATTTTTCTGTCTACGTTACACTCCCATGATGGAATCATATGATAATAGTACAAAACAAATCACAGATTTTCTAGTAACATGTATGGACAGATTTACTTCACATTTGCAAGTTCACATGGCCTCTGTTTGTCCATTGCAGGCCCCCAAGGGGCCATTTCTGGCCCATTTTTTTTCCATATGGGAAAACAAAACATGATCACAATAGAACAAGAGCTTTCAGCTGACAGGTGAACTAAAAACAATTACCTGAACCAATTGCACATCGACTACTCTGGATTCATCTAAATCCATCATCGTGTAGCTGCCATACTTTGCAGAGTGGCCTGGGGTAATTGCACGTCCATCTCCCCCCAATACAATTTCCCTATTTTCTTGAATCACACTGTCCAAATAGCACTGCTGCTGGTCTTTCCAAACTTGCAATATGGCTGGCTGAAGAAAATACCTCTGATGTTGCAAAAATGTATCGCAAGATATTGTGGCCATGTTCATAAAGTTGAACATCCGCAGTGATTTGCTTGGAAGCGACCCAGAAAACAGAATTGCACATGAAAGCAGTAAGTTTCCAGCTGGTATTGACCCGATCATTGGTTGGCTCTTCCAAACATTGGTATAGGAACAAAAACCACAGTCCTGTAGAATTTTCACTGCTGTACCGCGCAGCTGTTGAATATGTCCAAATGTTGGGCTGGAGCATCTTGGGCATGCTGAAAATAATTTTAGGAGTTCTGATTCGTAAACCAAAAATTTTCTGTCTCTTCCATCATCCCTGAAAAAAAATCATTTTACTTTAAATTATTGGTTTGGGCAGTGTATTTTGTCATAATTTGCCAGGCCAACGAAAGGCACTTGCACTGAGTAATAATTTAGCCTTAGTGATAACACAAGAGATCCAAAAAGTGGTGGTGGGATAAAGAAAGTGATATAGATGAAGATGTACAAGTACCATTATGTGGTAAAATGTTACTAATTATGACCCACAAACCTTTTTAACACAGAGGTCTAGTGACCTTTAATAACAATCATTTAACTTTACAATTGATCATAACAAAAAATCACCTTTCATCATCTATGTTGCTATCAGAGTCAACATCTTCATCTGCTTCACTCTGAAATGACGTATTAAATGAACTGTCAAGCAAGTCTTCTTGGGGACTATGGTCATCCATATCTCCATTGTCCTCCTCTGTGCTATCATGATCAAAAGTAAGATTGTGGTCCTCGCACATGTTGGTGTTTGACGTTTCTTCTGGTTTTATAATATCACACTGGATGGCCACAGACTTGCATTCATTGGATGTCGTCTGACATACTACAATAAAGAAAAATGATAAAAGTGGTGTAACACACTAAGAGAATGAAAACACTTTTTTTCTGAGCTCAGAATATGATAACTTTCTCCTATTCAACACCTTTACAGCAACGTAACATTGGGCTGCACCTGTTCCTTTGGAGCAGAGAGTAGTAGTAAAGTGTAACTATTTAACAATCCGCCATCCATAATGCAGACACCAGAATTAAAAAAACTCTGAAGAAAAAGGTTGTACCAGTTTACAAAAGCACTGGAAACAAGGTCATAATACTAACATCAGGATTCAAGATGGGTGTATTACTAACGAAACTCGGAAGTGTACTGGAAAACAAATTCATTAAAAATTGCAAAAAATTGTAGGGGGGACTCCATCAAACACCCTACACAAATCATTTGTTTTGTGAACGAGATATTATAATTGCAATTTTAACTCAGAGGATTGAGTGTATATTTATCTTCCTTTTCGCAAATCAAACAGAACTGTCTTCATTACAATATGATGAACTGTTAATACATCTGCATCAATTTAACTACACCCAATATCAATTTCTGATGCATAATTTTGATTAATCACTGTACCTTGGTTATGAGTTTTAAAACTTGTTTGTATTTTCTTTGACCTTCTTCCTGGCTTCTTCAAACCTACTTGGCAACCATAGGTTCTTGTTAAAGCTGTTGTTGATCCTGCTGGTGTCTAAAAAAACGTTAAAATACACAAACTTCAATAAAACACATGAAAACCCTGTTACATAAGTATCCCTTCTGCCCCATGCCTCTCTGTTATATGCCTATAGCAGACTCCGTAATAACTTTTAAGAAAACAAGCTTATTTTTCATCCAGGTATAAGACTGTTATAATAAAGCACTTTTCAAATACTTCTTTATGAACTCTGATCTGGTATCAATATCAAAATATATCCAACTAAGCTGAATCTCGTTCTAACTTCTACGGAATGGATGCTAAAAACTAGGACATAGTTACAAACTCTATTAATACCATTTAGATTCTATATGCTGAAATAAATTGTCAGATGTTTCCTTTCCATGAACTAATTGCACTTTGAATTGTTTATCCTCAAATTCTTACATGTGGTGTTGAGTTATCACTCTCCATACCGCACACCATGTTATTAATCGAACCGTTGTCAACATCATGGTCAATCTCCATCAGTTCTGTTGCTTGGAAATGCTGTGACAGTATCTGGAGGGGAAAACAAATGATCAAAATCAAAATAATAATGACTTTTAAAATTTCATATCATAATTTAAATTTGAGACAAAAAGGTGTGACTGGTATATACTAGCTACATTGTACACTCTACTGGTATAATACCTTCACTTTAAATGTACATGCTGTATATTTGATTCTCTTCCCAGTATAGAAAGTTGGGGCACCATTATACATATGTGTAATATAGACCAATGAAACATTGACTAGAATTCTAGTTGTCTGAATGTTTAACAAAATTATGAAAATACCAATACGCACGTCATTACTAAATTGTACATACCCTAGCATTTTCTGTCTTAGTAAAAGCCATTCTTTGTCGCTTTGGCGGTGGTGGCGTGTCTGTAATATTAGACATCGGGCTTGGTTCTGAAGCGTGTATAGATGGAACAGCATCTGGAAGCAGGTCCTTTCTTCGGACTGACTGGCCTAAACTTTCCATGATCTTATACTTCGCCGGGTAACAGGACATGTCGAAATGTTTCGAACAAATTACAGAATGTTTGGTGGCTCCGGCCCAGTTCTTCCTTTTCATTGTTACAAATGAAGTCCACTTTCTACAAATATCATCATTCTTCAATGGAAAGAAATGAAGGGAAACTCCATCTTTACTGGTGTTGCTGCAACCGAAAACAACACATCTTTTTCCTGAACGTCCGGCAGTCGGCGACGGGTCACCCATGGTCACAATAATTGACAGAAAAATCCACGAACGCTCACAAATATTTGAAACCTAAGTAAAACATTCCACAGATGATGACACTACTGTTACTTTACCATCAATTATAGTATAAATTAGTCGAATAACATTCAAGTAGGCCAAAAAAACGAAACGATATAACCTGGCTTCTGCTGGAAAACTAATGGCTGCCGGAGTGGGACAGAACGCGCGCTTCCACATGTGACGTCACTACTGAAGAGCTATGTTAGAGTGCCGTTCGATGATCTCGTTCAGGTGTGTTTTTAGCGTTTTCGACAATAACTTTGGAACGCGTGGATCGTTTTCGGCGATTTTTGCGGTAAATGAACGAGCAAAGGCTATTTGATTTAATGACACATATATGACAAAGCATTCAGGTTCCTCTTTAAGGTTGTGTATAATATTGGATTAGTGCTTTGTGGTTATATACGTGACGGTATAGTAAATCAATAGGGGTACCAACGTTTTAGATTCTCTGATCATTCTAAATTGTTGAGTAGTGTTCGCGTCCTGGAACTGAAAAATCAACATACAAACAAGATATCAGTATTGGTAGTTGTGAATAGATAACCAATGCATTCATATAAATGAAATGTTGTTAGAATTAATGTTGTATTAAATGTTAAAATGTTATCATTACCAATTATGCCCTGATATTAAATATAGCGATGTATATGATAACAAACAAGATGTTGACATAATACCAAATATTTTAACATAATAACCAAACATTTTGATATTATAACGCAGATTTTGACATGATAACGGATATGTTGACATGATATCACTGATTTGATATGAAAACGGAGATTTTGACATGATATCAGAAATTCTGACATGATAACGGAGATGTTGACATGATAACAGAGATGTTGACATGATTTCAGTGATTTTGACATGATATCAGTGATGTTGACATGATATCAGAGATGTTGACATGATATCTGTGATGTTGACATGATATAAGAGATGTTGACATGATAACGGAGATTTTGATGTTGACATGATATCAGAGATAGTGACATGATATCTGTGGCTTCGACATGATACCGGAGATTTTTAAATGATAGCGGAATTTTTGACAAAGTCACAAATGTTTAAATAAAAATAGAAAATTTGATATGATCACAAAAGTTGACATGATAAAAATTCAGAGATTTCGACATTATAAGGAAGATATTTACATAATAAACAAAATGATGACATTACAAAAACATGTTTATGATAACAGAAAGGTAAATATAATAACATAGATATTTACATAATAACAGAGAGGTTTACATAATAACAAATGTTGATATCATAATCAATATGTTAACATCATAACAAAGAATATGACAAGCTGATAAATGCAATGAAAAGTTCCAGGGTCTCTATTTGTTGTTATTGTTAGAAATAAGTTCTTCATTCTTTCAGAATATCTATTGAAAATGGCGACAGACTATGTAACGATCGCATTTGATACTTAGTACCTGACGAGAAAGGCAATGGAACCAATCGATGATATCGATATATTGTTACTCCTGTTTTTTTTTCTATACAGAAGTGATAGCAGCTCGATTGTTCATGAAAGACTCGGATTATAGGGGCATGCGAGTTGTTTCCCTTGTAACGATGAAATTTGTAACAATGTCCTTAGCATTAACAGTTTCTTTTCAAACAAATAAAACTCTTATATCACCCAGACAATTTGTGGCAACAAAATTACACTCATGTTTCGAAATGTATAATGCTGTTTGAAAGAATCCCAGCTCTCGTCTTTTTCTATTACTTTTATGCCGATGAAAATTTGAGATTCACTCTTACTTTAAAAAATATTCCAAACATACGGCAAGAAACAATGATTGGGTTTGTAAATTTACTTTCAGAGATAGAGTGAAACCTGTCTAATCCGACACCATGGGGGAGTGACATT